CGGGTGCACACTGTGCTGGGCCCCCCAGCAGGCCTCGAAAGTGGCGACGGTTTCACAGATCGCAGCCCCCCAGGTATGGCGAGGTCCCTTTTGAATCCGCCGCGGTGCACACTGTGCTGGGGCCCCCCAGGAAGGCCCCTCGGAAAAGTGTCGGTGATCCATTCTCCGCAGCCCCCCCAGGATGGCGAGGTCCCATTTGAATCCCCGCGGGTGCACACCTGTGCTGGTGCCCCCCAGCGGAGGCCTCTAAGTGGCGACAGTTTTCCAGATCGCAGCCACCCCAGGGATAGGGCGAGGTCCCATTTTGAATCCGCCGCGGGTGCACACTGTGCTGGGCCCCCCAGCAGGCCTCGAAAGTGGCGACAGTTTCACAGATCGCAGCCCCCCAGGGATGGCGAGGTCCCATTTGAATCCGCCGCGGGTGCACACTGTGCTGGGCCCCCCAGCAGGCCTCGAAAGTGGCGACAGTTTCACAGATCGCAGCCCCCCAGGGATGGCGAGGTCCTATTTGAATCCGCCGTGGGTGCACACTGTGTTGGGCCCCCAGCAGGCCTCCAAAGTGGCGACAGTTTTACAAATCGCAACCCCCCAGGGATGGCGAGGTCACATTTGAATCCGCCGCGGTTGCGCACTGTGCTGGGCCCCCAGCAGGCTTCGAGAGTGGCGACAGTTTCACAGATCGCAGCCCCCCAGGGATGGCGAGGTCCCATTTGAATCCGCCGCGGGTGCACACTGTGCTGGGCCCCCCAGCAGGCCTCGAAAGTGGCGACAGTTTCACAGATCGGTGCCCCCCAGCTGGCACGCAGCGACGAGCGAGGCAAAAGGCAAGGGGGAAGAGAGGGACGGGAGGGGGTGGGAAGGAGACGCGCGAGCAGTGCTCTATTCAAAACGAGAACCCAACGCAGGAGGGTTGGGAAAAAGTAAGAACATCCCACGAAATCCTTGCGACAGAACTGCAACATCTAAGGAAAAGCACGCAGCTGTTGCCCGCGAAACCTTATAACAAAACACTGCCTCGTGACGCTGAGGCGCCAACACCATGTGTTTTCCACGGTTAGGTGGCTATCTGGTGTCCGAAACAGCGGTGTTCACTTGGTTTTGCAATTTTTTCGCATGGCTGCCTTACGATGTCCTTAGCCTTTTTGTTTTTCTGCTCTCTTTCTGTTCAGTGTTTTCATGCATGTTCGCTGATTCGCGCCCGGCGCTGCACCGGCCCTCGCGCCGCCAGAAACAGGCTGGCGAAAATCTCGAAACAACGGAAAAATGCTCCACCCACAAAAAGTCAAAAAGGAAGGAACAAGCTGAGGACATCCGAAGAAATCCACACCAAAAGCTTCAAAACCTAAGGGGGTCCAATGCGTTGGGCAACAGGCACCCGCGAAACTTGCGAAAAAAACATTTTTCGTGGTGCCGGAGCGCCACATGATATCACCGGTTTGGTGGCTATCTGGTGACCAAAACATTTGTTCCCATTGGGCTGTATTTTTTTTCCGCGTGGATTTCTTAGGCTGGCCTCAACTTTTCGTCGTTTGTACGTTTATGCATGAACCGTTTGCTTCCATGCCGTCTGAAAAGGTGTCATAAATTTCAACGGGTCAGACGCGCGCACACTGTGTTCGCGCGCACCTCGACAGCATCCTCGGTCGCCAGGCAGTTGGCACTATGGAGCGCCAGTCCACTGATTTTCACGCCGAGGACAGCTGCGTGGACGACCAAGGTGACGATGACTTTGCCGACAGATCTTCATGTTCGTCTCTTGTCCAGGCCCTTGGGTTGCTACGCGTCGATGTCCTCGACGTTGCATTCGATGGCGAGGTGATTGGCGGCGACGACCGCGAGAGTGGCGACGACGACGACAGCCTCGCCGGCGCGCCCTCGGCCAAGTGGTCTGAGAGGTTGAGGTCAGCCGCCCAGGTAGCAGCGGATCACATGCATCGAGCACACCAAATTGGAAAAAACAAACAAAAACATACTTAGTTGGAGTTCGGCGCGGCTGGCCACTGGACATGCCCCGCGTACGTCGCGCGGGAGTTCAATAGGAAGGACAGCCTGAGAACGCATCTTCAAAACTATCATGTTCGCAGTGAGAGGCAAACCATAGCTGCGAAGCTGTAGCGCGAAGTGGCGGGCCAGGGCGATGAAATATTGGCGAAACAAATTTATCCACGGTCTGGATGGGAGCAATCGAATGAAGTTCTGCTGCTTCTGGCGCACAGGTGCGCTTAACTTATCCGCCGCCAATTGGGATGGAGCCCGTCGTGGGCAGGCGATCGCGCGCATTTTTCTCTACGGGGCATCGCATCGACAAGGGGCTCGCCGCATGGTTGGATCGAACGAACGCGCGATACATATTGAGAGCAGACGCTAACGCGTACCATAGGGCGCCCGACATATTCAACGCACGTCAGAATACCTCAACGCGGTCCTCGCTGCCATGATCCATCCTTTCACCAATCAAGAGGGCCACGGATTGACCGACTTCTCAGGGCCAGATCTGGCGAGAGAGCTCAAGTGATGCCGACGGGAAAACTTCAACCACGCAATGTTCGAGAAGATTTAAGCGCATGCCAACATTCGGAGAGCGATGCTGCGATGCCCGGGCGGCTGCGATGTCTTGGCGCTGGGGGCTGATAGGGGTTTGCTGATAGGGGTTTTACAAGTCCCTCGTGGGAGTACCATATCAAGTCCCGCTCGGCAAGAAGCAGCAGGCCGCGGCGGTCGGCGGCCCTCCGCCCCAGGAGAACTGCGGACGGTTCAGCGCAAAGACGCCGTCCTCAACATCGAAGGGGTGCCTTCCGAACGTGCGCCTGATATTGTGCGCGCCCTCCGGAGCGCAGCGTCAAGTAGCCGAGTGTATCTGGTAAAGATGGTGTGCTCTGATGCGCCGGCCGTGATGGACAGCTATTCCAAGCTGCGCGAGGCTTCCCAAACCTTAAATGCGCTGGCAAGGATTTGATGCACATCGCATTGAAAATGAAAAAAGCTCCCAATCGAAGACTAGCAGCGCTTTCGCGTTCTGCGAAGCGCTGCTTAGCCAAACTACGCATGGGTTGCTTCGGACACACGAGAGATCACAAAGCAGCCCAGGGAGAGCCCTCGTCTTCCAAGCTTCAGTCGAAAATGGCAGCCATGGCGGTTTGTAAGCGCCGCCGCCTGTATGACAGGATCCGGGAATACTCCTACATCAACGTGTCTTCTGCGACCATGGCACGGTTCGAAGAAGACGTCGCTGCCATTTCCTTGACCCACGCAGAAATGCTCACGAGGAGGACTAAGGACGGCAAGGCGAGCATAATACACAGTCTCCAAGGAAGCGACGAGCCGCGACGGTCTAGGTTACATTCGGATGCTCAGCAAATGCGTTGCGAATCATCCTTCCGACCATGTCATATATGGCACGAACCGCAACGATGCTTGTCATTCGCAGCTGAAGGTGTTCTATTCTAAAGCGATGTCCCATACTCGTCGGCACGCGATGTCCGTTGACAATATAGCGACGATGCACAGCTGCTCGCTGCACCACTTGGCGCAGGATTTGACGCAAAGCATCGACGAACATGAGGTCGTCAGCAACACCTTCTAGAGAAGGCGCAATTAAAACTTTCGCCTTGCACGCGCCACTCTGCCCAAGCCAATGAGAGCGTGAACCTTCCGGAGCTCCCGCCCAAATCGAAGCGCATTCGCATGCGGCCAGCCAGTTCCGCGGCGCAATTTGTTCAGGCTTAGAACTGGCACATCTTGTTCGCACTTGGCAAAACTCGCTTATGTTGCTTCACAGTCGTCTCGCTTCCGCCTTACACGAGGGAAAAGCGCACAACCATGTGGAACCCTGTAGGACACCATTCGGAGTGGAGCAGATCACAGCTACATAGGATCAATATTTGATTTGACTATGGTCCGAATGGGAAGGCAGCAAACTCTAAACAGGGTTTCAATCTGATTGCAATAGGACCCCACTGTAAATATGACAGAGACGTATCCAGAGGAGTCCACTTGCGTGAGAGTAGTCCCAACGAGGTGCCAACAAGAAGGGGGCACATCCCAGATGCAGAAGAACCGACTTGGGCTTCGGTACGGTTCCTAAACGAATTGGGCATGCCAGCTGGATTATCATAGGTTCCCACTTGGAATATAGCAGACGCCACCCCTAGAACATTTCAAAAGGTAGTATATATGCTTCACAAGGGAAAGGAAGATACCAAGAGGGAGAGAGAAAGAGAGCGAGAGAGAGAGAGAGATCTCCCAAACAGTCCCACATTTTCCCTCCACGGGATCCCAGGGGGGGAGGGGTAGGGAGGGGTCCTGGGGCTTGTGACCCCCCCACCCGTGGGGGAGCACTCCTCCCTGAGAGAAGCTTTTCCCTTTGATTCCTTGCCTCCGAGACGCCTCGGGCTCCCCCTTCAGGGTCGGTGGCACCGGCCGTAAGTCCTTCGCAATATATGAGGGACCCCCTCTGCCCCCCCCTGGCCCAGCCATGCGCACGATATCCGAATCCATATGAGGCTGCCCGAGGCCACCTCATGGCTATCTGAACTCTGAAACCATCCGAGGCCCTTCACAAATTTAAGAGCTCTTGTAGAATATAGAGGCCTCCCAAATGGGTCGGAGTTGATGGGGTCGGAAGATCGCGCCGCATCGTCGATGCATCACCCAGCCGTCGGCGACGTCGGCGTAGAGAAAACTGGGCTCCGCATCGAGCCGCATCGCCCATGCATCGGCGATGCGGCGCGATCCTCCGACCCCATCTGCTCCGACCCCATCTACCCAAACCCCTGACGTCATGATTTTGTTCATGACGTCGACCCCCACAAATCTCGACCCATTCCCCGGCGTTCTTTGACGGTCCCGAGGGCGGGTAAGGGCCCCCAGAGGCCAAACAGAGCCACAAACCTCCCGTCCTGCTTTTTCTTCAGCACTCGAGGGGATCAGGGCAAGAGCCCCGGACGCCCCCTCCTCCCGACCTCTTCCCGACGGCGCCGGCGCCGAATTGCGAGGAGCGCCTGGGCCGCACCGCCACCGACCAGATCCAGTCGTCGCGCTCGCCGAGGTCGCCCAGCATGACGCCCTCGCGGCTCCACAGCTGGACCTCTCCGCCGTGCCGGACTCCAGGCGCCCCGCCCCGCCCGCCGCCGCCGCCGCCGTCGTCGCCGTCGTCGTCGCCGCCGCCGCCGCCGCCGCCGTCGTCGTCGTCGTCGTCGTCGTCGTCGTCGCCGTCGTCGCCGCCGTCGTCGTCGTCGTCGTCGTCGTCGTCGCCGTCGACGTCGTCGTTGGCGTCGTCGTCGTCGTCGTCATCGCCGAGGTCGCGAGGTCGCTGTCCAGGTCGACGTCGAGGCTCTCGGGACGTCGATCGACCGACGGGTCGAGGATGAGGATCTCTGGGGCGCTCCTGGCCGTCCTGGGGAGCCCGCAGGACTTCGCGGGGCCTGCGCTTTGTTTTTGATCGAGACATCGGAGAAGCATACTCGGATTATCTACTCGCTCCGTCTCTGCCCCGATGAGCCACAGCGTCTCGAGGCGGAAGGGGCGGGGGCGCTTTCGAACGTCTTCGGCCCCAAACCCCTCTGCGTCGTGCTCTCATCACGACGGAAGGTGTTGTTGCTGCCCGGTTTCGAGTGGTGGGGCCCTCGCCCCTCGCCAGGCCCACAGACCGTCAAAAACCAACCGAGGATGAAAACCGGTCCCAGGGAATGGGTCCAGACCTCCAGGGGCCCCCGTGGTGGAAAAGCATGGCGTCGGGGGATCGGGGGCGGGAGGTGTCACCAGCGATTCTAGAAAGCCAGGTCCAAGAAATGTTTCGCCAGCGCGGGCCCCAATTCGACCCTTGCACCTTCCGTGAGGAATGAATGCGTTGCACGTAATGTCATGCGTCCTATGTGTGGTGCAATGGATGTGCTGCCAGCAGTGTGGTCGAGACAAGGCTACGCTGTACAAAATATGCGGCGTCGACAACGTGGCTGAAGCTATGTAGTGCGAGCTACGTGGTGCAAGATGTGTAGCGTAAGCTGGAGAGCGATGCGCGCTACTTAATGGAATCTACGTGGTGCAAGTCCGTTGCAATATATGTGATGCATTCTTCGCATGGGACACAAGCTACGCGTTGCAAGCTGAGTGTTGCAAGCGGTGTGGCGCGAGCTATGCGGTGCGCGGCGCGACCTGTGGTGGACCCATCACGCAGGGCGCCCACGAGACACCCGACGGGTGGCCACGGGTTAGGGGAACGAAGAATGACATAAACATAAAAACTCGGAGGTCCGCGCGGATTTCTCGGATCGGTGCTAGACCCCCCTCCCTGGCGCGCGGAGCGCGCCAGAGGTGGCGCCGGAGGCGCCGCCAGAGGGGTCCAGCGCGGATCCGAGAAATCCGCGCGGACCTCCGAGTTTGTATATTTATGTCATTCTTCGTTCCCCTAGGCGCGCACGAGGCGACATTCCCGCAGGTGGCCACGAGGCGGCCGCACGAGGCCTCTGGCGTGGCCCCGGGCGAAGCCCCCCGGCAGACCCAACCGGCGTGTCGGAGCCAAGCCAGCGCCCCAAGTGCAAGCACCGATTGGGGAACGTTGGCGTCCAGCCCGCGGGCCGCCCGCGGGCCGGCCCGGGCGCGGGCGTGCGCCGGCGGGCCTTGTGGTTGGTGCCTCCCATCACGAAGTAGTCCTGCCGGGCCCCGCCGCCCGCGGCCAGCCCGGGGGGCCCTCGAGCCCCCCGCCTCGGGGGCCCGATCGAGGAGGAGGAGGAGGAGGAGGAGGAGGAGGAGGAGGAGGAGCAGGAGCAGGAGGAGGAGGAGGATGAGGAGGAGGAGGAGGAGGAGGAGGAGGAGGAGGAGGAGGAGGAGGACTGTGGTGCAGTGCTGATGTCCCTCCGACGAGCCTCCGACGACGAGAGTCTCGTCGGTCAAGCGCGCCTCCCGCGCTGCGGCCTCCCAGGGGGCCCGCTCGGGGGCCCTCCAGGGCCAGCAGGTGCCCCCACGGGGGGAAGATAAGGTGGCAGCTCAGGGGTCGCGGAGCGACGGACGACGAGGGCGTCGGAGGTCTGGGCCCGAGGGCTCAAGCATGGGCGAGCCGAAGGGCCTGCCCCAACGTACAAGGTCATGGCTGCCCACAGGGACATCAGCACTGCACTGCAGCCCTCCGTCCTCCTCCTCCTCCTCCTCCTCTTCCTCCTCCTCCCCCTCGTCCTCGTCCTCCTCGTCCTCCTCCTGCTCCTCCTGCTCCTCCTCCTCCTCCTGCTCCTGCTCCTGCTCCTGCTCCTGCTCCTGCTCCTGCTCCTGCTCCTGCTCCTCCTCCTCCTCCTCCTCCTCCTCCTCCTCCTCCTCCTCCTCCTCCTCCTGTTGGTCCATTTGGGCCTTCGGCCTGGCGGCTCCAGCGACTGGCAACGCTTCGCGCTAGAGAGCTCGGGAGCGGGAACGCGGGCACGCAGCCGAAGTCTGGGGGACCGCGAGGACGATGAAGGATCGAAGTGCTCGGACGCCTCTGACCTCCCCTGGACCTCCACGGGGCCTGCGCTGCAGGCCTCCCCGGTGGCCTCTGGAGACCTCCAGGGGCCTCCGCCTCCCCAACCCTCTGGCTGCCGAGCCCGCAGGCAGCTCGCACTGGATGGCCCGCGACTTCTGCACCCTCGGAGGCGCTTCTGGCCTGCATGCAGTGGAACACTTCTCGGAACGAGAAGCACCGCTCCCGGCGAAGAGCTTGGTCCGTCTCCTTCCTCCCTCCCTCCCCCTCCTCCAGGCCCCAGGAAGCCTCTGAATTCTACATCTCCCTGAGACGGGCTGAAGGGAATTGAAAGGTCCTCGGTGGCCTGGAGGTTCAGGTGGGGAGAGGAGGGAGGGGGGCGGAAGGGATGAGCAATTTTTGGAAAAGCGGGTGCGGCCTGTTTTTTGTTGGCTTTTGAATTTCAGGGGGCTCCTCCTCCTGCCCTCCCCCCCACCCTACCTCCCTCACTCCGTCTCCTCCTCCCCTCTCCATCCTCCAGGCTTTGTTCCTGTATTCCCTCCGCGAAAACTGGTGGGATACTCACCCCCGATGATCTTCCAGCCCGTCCGCTCCGGAGGTGAGGGGGCGAGGAGAAGGAGGAGGGAGAGGGAAAAGGGGAGGACAGCAATAGGACGACCCTCAAGACCACACGGGAGAAATGAAAAAGTCGCGGGAGGAAGAATACCCCAGCCCCTCGCCCCCCCCCCCCCAAAAAAAAAACAAGCAAAACACAAAAAAAACAGAAAAGCAGCAACACGAAAAAACGAAATCCTCCCGAAAACCTCCGAGGACCCCTGAAAACCGTCAGGAACGCGAAGATCGGCGTAGGCCGGGGTCCCCGTTCGAGAAGAAGTCGATGCCGCAGGGGTCGTACTCCAGCTGGTGCTGTTTGCCGTACTCCTTCGCGCGGAGGGGAACTATCGTGAGAACTCTAAGCTCGAGCGATGCATGTGAGCTGGCATTTCATTATTCGCGATAAGGCCCATTCTCGTGGCCGCCCCCACGCAATGAAACTCACGATTCGCGCCGTGGCAATGCATGCCCCCTCCGTGCCCCCCCCCCCGCCCCTTGGCAACGTCGGTTAAAGTCACTCGCGACTTGGGCCCTAGCGCCAGCCCGCTCGGCGAGCATACATCGCTCGCAGCCCTGAATCAAATGCAAGGGGACTGCGCCGCCCATGGGTTGCGCCATAGGCTGCGCCACTCATGGGTGGCGCAGAAGACAGCATCAGCAGCAGAAGAAGTAACAACATCAACATAAACGTTCGAAAGTCCGCCCAGATTCATTGGATCGGCGCTGGAACCCTCCTCCCTGGCGCGCAAAACGCGAAAGTGGCGGCGCGGGAGACACCGCCAAGGGGGTCACAACGCCGACCCGAGAAATCTGCGAGGACATCCAAACATTGATTCCTGAATGGTTCGTCTTCTTATTAAAATAACTAATAGTTGTCGGCTTGTCTCGGCAGCGAGGCTGCGCCGCTCCCTGCCGTGCAGCCGTGACCGCTACGGGGGGGGGAGGCTGGCGCGTCGTTGCGGCCGTGCTGGCGCGCGCAGGCTCGCGCGCAGAGCAGCCAGGTAGTCTGGCGCGACCGACGCGGCCGCGGTGGCGCAGACCGCTGGGGGGCTTTTTGGCGCGTGTCGGAGGCCGCGCAGACGCGCGGGCACGTCAGCTCGTGTTGGTGACTCGGGTGGGCACGGTATCATGGCGACGCCGAAAACGGCATACGCGATGATGATAATAGCGATGCTGGTGACGACGGTGACAGTGACGACGACAAAACCAATGACGGCGCCGATGGTGATCACGCCGATGACCGTGATGGTGTCCACGTGTCGGTGATGAATGTTTTGGCAGGATGTCGACATGCGCGCGCGGCCGACAGGCGGGAGTGGCCCGCATGGTCGCATCTGAAAGGGATCGCGCCCCGTTTCTGGAAGCGCGCGAGGACTTTCGAATGCTTTCGACATGCGCGCGCGAGGTGCCCGCGTGGTCGCATGCGATGAACATGTTGAACATATGCCGTCTTCGTAATAATTGTCAAGGTCGCACGCAAATCTTTCCAACAAAAAATGCAAACACACGATACGGTTCGCAGGTTTCTGGGGAGCTCGACCTTGAACCCCCTACGACACCCGGAGCGGTCGAAGGGCTCCGACAGGCGCGCGCGACGACGCACGCATGTGCGCTTTGTCCTGTGGTTCGAGATGGAGAGAATAGGCGCGCGCGTACTATCATGCGGCTGGCTCGCCATCGCTCGGAAGTCCATTCCGTGTGTTATTTCTGTTTCGTGCGTGGTTTTTTCGCGAACTGATCAAGGATGCTCCTCGGTGGTCTTCGCCGAAGGAAAAAGGCGCACGACCGAGCGACGCCCGGGGGGTGGTATGGGACGATACCGTTTTGGTTGGGACGGTATGAGTGCATATGTCACATGCATGTGTAGCAGAACCACATGAAACTTGCACTACCCCGGGGGGCGCGATAATCCCAGGGGGGGTCTGGACGTCTGTTTGAAAATCGAATATCGATGTGGTGATAATCGCCCTGCCGAGCTTGTAATGAGCTCCACGGCTCGCGCAAGCATCCCACCCACCCACCCGCAGCGTGATTTGCAAACCCCACGCGGCGTCGATTGCGCTGGCTGCTCCGCGCTGGCTGGCGCATCGTTGCGGCCGCGCTAGCGCGCAGGCTCTCAGGCAGAGCGGCCAGCTAGTCTGGCGCGACCGACGCGGCCGCGGTGGCGCTGACCGCTGGGGACTGCCCACCGCGTCGTGCAGGCCGCGCTGGCGCGCGGGCACTTCACCGCGAGTCGGTGACTCGGGCGGGCGCGGTATCATGGCGACGCCGACCACGACAAACACGATGATAATGTTAGTAGCGATGCTGGTGACGACGGTGACGATGACGACGGCGTCGATGCTGATCACGCCGATGACGGTGATGGTGCCCACGCGTCGGCGATGCAATCGTTGATCGGATGTCGACATGCGCGCGCGGCCGACGGGCACGAGTGGCCCGCACTATTGGACAAGGACCGTGCTCTCAGCAAGCGGGCGAAGGCGTTCGAATGATTCAGACACGCGCGCGCGAAAGGCCTGCTTGCTCGAAGTTGATGAACATGTTGGAAAACAATGGTCTACGAATTAAGTAGCAAGAGCGCGCGCAAACTTCTTCAACTAAACACATGATGCAGCACAGATGTGTGGTCGTATGCTTCCGAGAGACACGATCTTGAAATAGCTATGAGGCCTGGAGTCTTCGAAGGATTCTGGCATGTGCACGTTATCCTGTGATCTGTGATAAACGAACGCGCGCATAACATCATTTGGCAGGGATGGCGGAGGGGCGTGCTGGCTTGGCTGGGAGGGTG